AATATTAAATAATAATGTGTGTTTCTGTGTACATTTATACATACATGCAGGGTTAAAATATTATAATATTATATTTGTTTACTTGTATTTAATAAATATATAAATTAATAATTGTTATTTTGAATGAATTTAAAGCAAACAATTGAGTATACTTTAAATTACATTTATTTTTGCAATGTAATTGAAATATTATTGTTTGAAAAAACATGTTGCGAATGCACTAAAATTAATTACATTCACTACAATAAATATATATAATAATTTATACTGTAATTAAATAAAATTTAATAATAAATTAAAATTTACATTTTCAAACCGGATAATATTGAATCCGGACTGATCGAAACCGAAAAAGTTTTACTGTATTTTCAACTCATCATATAGTATGTATCATATTGATTGTTGTTGTCTTATACTTTATATTAATATACTTGTTATCAATATGTCTTATGTAAACGCAATAGAAGAATGGTAAGGAATAGTAAGGTTTCATATGTCTTACCCATCAGTTTACACAGTATATTCGACTCATGTTTCCGTTCATGTCGAAAGCAATCATTGCAATCGATATATTTGATGAAAGTTTTGCATTCAAAATGTTCAGACATTATTATTTGCAATCTTAGTCTTTCAACGATCCTGAATAACTTAAGACGTGTGTATTATGTAACTATATGGATGTGTTCTTAATCTAAATTATTATTTGTTCATTATGTGACCTATTGAAGAATTTCCAGGATTTTCATGATCCAGCAAAACAGGAATAGGATAACTTATACATATATATAGACTTTTAGATGGCATATTATATGCGCTCACCTATCTATGTACTACTTCTACAAAGCTTGCTTAACTTAGATTATGTAATAGAATTTAGAATCGACTAAGTGTATTATTTTAAATATTTTAACAAATAATCAATATTTGCTACAAAAACTAAAGTACTCTAACCGATTGAAATTAATTATTTTAAGCGTTCGCTTTTCACGTTGACTGCAATTACAAATAATTGTTGTTATCAAACGTACATAATCGATTTCTATTTCATTTCATATATTATCCAAGCGGATGAAAATTTGGAAACATACAAATATTTTACCAGATACTCCCAATAACGGCGAAAACAATAATGTCAAATGTATGGAAACAATCTAAAAAAAAATAACACTCGTACACGCAAACTGTCATTGAATTTGATTGGCGTTTCGCTCCTACAGGAAACACGACGCGAACCGAATGGAAAATGCATTTTTAATAATAATATTTTTGAAATTAAATTGATTGCATGTTTTTATTGCGTCTGCCGCAACGGGGATTTGCATTAATCATGAATAATTTTCGTACACCTTTGGTTTGCTCGATTCATAATCATTATGACTGAATGTATTTTAATGCAGTTCTGGTTCTCTCCTACACACTACAGTATTTCGTATTCATTACAAAAAAAAATTATAACCTCGGTCGCATGTAGCATTCCATATTTCATTTTTATTTTTGGTGTAGTTTGCAGGTGTTAAATAATTAATGAATATGCATGGAGCGTTTATTTACTGGTAGCCAGACTTACATAAACATATCTTTTATTTACATTTTTCCAACTGGTTTATTATTAATGGTAATATTTAATTTAATTTAATTTTTTTTAGAAATAATGATATAGTTTCATAATAAACTTTCAAATATTTAGAAAAAATGTTAATTATTGGAGCTAAAAACTGTAGTCAATTACACATAGTATGTAGGAGGATATGAGTTGCTCAATTTATTTTGTTAGTAATTCGCGTGTAAAGTTTGACAATTAACACTCGAAAATGCAGTGTTTTCACATGTTAGTGATGAATGTATTCAAAAGGTGCATATGAATGCTGGATGTTTGGGAAATGTAGCGAGTATTCATACAACATTGTGGTTTCATCCATTTGGCTGTGATTCACGTTCAAAGTTTCAATAAAAATTAACTTCCAAAAAGCTATTGTTTCATCTGTAATTCGCTTTCAAGTTTAAAAAAAAATTAACGTTCGAAATAGTAGTTAATTACTTAGTTGTTGAACAAATTATTTACATTATTAAAGATCAATGAATGTTATGAAAATGTGTTATTGAAAATTGAAATATCGACGATTGCACTGAAAATTTATTGCAAAATCTCCATAGGAAATTCGTTTGAAATTTCGCTCTATATCTGCATCGTCATTAAAATTCAAAATGTAAATTACATGAATTAGCTATTACTCGAATGGCCTATTTGCAATGATGCCACTTTCATGCATTAGGCAATTTTAATTATAATCCATAAATACACGTACAGCTTAAGCTAATTATAATTGCATCATCGATTATAGCTGATAATAATGTTTTTGAAAAAAGAAATCCATTAGATTTGTATTGGTATTCAAGGTTAATGTATACATAAAATTAAGAATGCTATTGCTCAGAACTCTTCATAAATATTTCACTCTGTTATGTATACAAACTGTTCATTTCGTAGGTTTATAATGAACGTTTTTTTGCTCTGAAGTGTTCAATTTGGAGAATATTATCATTTTACTACTGTTTCCTTGATACGAATTCCTAACAACACTATATTAATACATATAAATAGATTTGAGACAAATATAACTTCAATTTAAAAATGAAACAAAGCTATTTATAATTTCTTATTTTTATTCGAATAACAGGATATAATCACAGTTTATTTATATATCATTATTTTCTTTCTTCATGAAAATATAAAGAAACATACAGTGAAATTAAAAAGAAAAATCGTTTCATATCAAATCTGCGCATTACTTAACAATTATTTGCAGCAGTTTTATTGCATCTACCCACAGACCAATACGACATAAAAAAAGTATTTTTTCCATTATTCACTGTTGAAATTCATGCTTGATCCCTAAATTTACCAAAGTTCTCAAAATAAAAAGTGTCTTAAGTCGCTGGTAAGTATTGTTTATTGCATTAATATTATATAAATGAAACTTTTAAATTATCTCAAACAATTGTTAAAATATCTTAAAATTCATTTTAATATTTGTATAGAATAACTGTAGAAGTTATGGTAAAACTTAATTAAAATCGATGTAGAAATGTTGGAAGTTTTGGAAATATTATCAATTAGTGAAGGTATTTACGGAAGCATGTAAATACGAAAAAACTTTGAAGCAGATATCGACAATGAAATCCCCCGGAACGAAAAAGTGACGTTTATTAAAAAGTTTTAATAAATTCATCCACTGTTATTTCAACTGCAGTTTCGCAACGAAGGGCGCACTTTGGTAGGTATAGGGGTGTACTCACTCCAACTCGCGCAATAAAATTACGTAATTTTACTTCTTCTTTATATGAAAATATAAAATGCATTAGCGAGCTTAATTGCCTCCGTATTTTATTAACAAAACTACAGCTCACTGAGGGGGAATACCCGTTGCTCTAATGAAAAATTCAAACAATTTTATTTTCGTTATAATAGCCACTTTCGCCCTTTCCAAAAAATATAAAAAAAACACGAAAGAATTCAACAGAAATGTGAGGTAAATAATATGAATATAGCGAAATTATTTCTCATTATCCTGGTAAAAAGTAAATAAATATAATACAGGTTTTTGGATAAAATTCGTAAATCAATTCGCAAAAATCGAGTATGTAAATCGCTTATGTGCAAACATATATGTAGCACAGCTAATGCATGCAGTTGTCATAAATGTAAAACAAAGGAAGCACATAAATATTTTATTGCCGCTATTGCGGCCACATTAATTTCAATTTCGCTTGTAACTCGGCGGAACTGTTTTCAACAATTGCTGAACCGGATGCGTGCCAAAAAATTGAAATTGTTTATTAATTCCCATATAATTGATATAGCACGTGCGATAATCGTTAGCGCATTTACCGCATATTTGCTTATGGAACTAATGCGTTTTCATTAATGCGCACATTCATCTATCTGTCAATATGAAAGTCGAAATTTGGCAGCTCAAGTTTCTTTTAGAAACCATTCGTAACTGACAATTTGTTTTCAATTTGTTTCTTTGAAGTTGGATACCAATGACATTGACATCTGAAATTGCATTTTATATTTTGTAGTTTTTACACATTGCTGATTTTAACTGCTTTGCTTTGCTTTGTATTCTAATTTCAGTATTTTTCGTGGGCCCCTCGTGGGACCTATGCACTGTGCCTACTATGGTTAATGGATAAGAAAGCCCTGATGATGTTGTATATTTCAGCTCATTATAATAAATATGAACAAAATTGTAAAGTTGTAAATAAATGTTGGTCACAAAACAAAATACGATTATAATTCTACATGTGCATTTCTTATAATTGAGTTATTTTCTGTTTGTAATATTGATCATAATTTTATAAAAAATTATGATCAAAACTATTTATAATTTCTTATTTTTATTCGAATAACAGGAAATCTATATAATCACAATTTATTTATATATCATTATTTTCTTTCCTCATCAAAATCTAAATGAAAATACAGTGAAATTAAAAAGTAAAATCGTTTCATATCAAATCTGCGCATTACTTAACAATTATTTGCAGAAGTTTTATTGCATCTACCCACAGACCAATACGACATAAAAAATGTATTTTTTACATTATTTACAATTGAAATTTAGATACAAAAAGGCCACAGAAATTCATGCTATTCATGAAATTCATTCATTATAATAAATATGAACAAACTTGTAAAGTTGTAAATAAATGTTGGTCACAAAACAAAATACGATTATAATTCTACATGTGCACTTTTTATAATTGAATTATTTTCTCTTTGTAATATTGATCATAATTTTATAAAAAATTACAGTCATACCTTCGTAAAGGCAGTATGAAATACATCTAAAAAAGAAGTTTTTGCTTAACGAAATAAATTATATTTAAGTATAATATAATTTGTAAATTTTTTGTATTAGTTGTAATGTTTCTAATATTATATTTTAACTAAACTGAATTAGTTCATAATAAAATATTAATATAATTTAATTTACCTTGAGCTGGAGAGTAGATATTTAAGTATAGACAATCTTCGGAGGAGTTCAGAAGGTATTTCACCAGTCTGTTGAAGTATTCCTTCCTTATGGAAGTCATCATTGTGGTATTGGGAAATTTCTGAGGACAAACCGGCTTCATGCTATCCGCATATCTCGTCCCAGACCAGGATGGAGCGCTGCCAGGAGGCATGAATCTGAAAACACCAATTAATCGGTATTGGAAGTCCGGTCACATCATGAAAACACACGGATCGGGTGGTAATCTTTCCCATTCCACCGTCCATGCTAAACGATTACACCCCCCTTTAGTTCGCATTTGAATTTAATTGTTCCAGAGCAATTAATTACTCGTTTGTACCTAAGTTCTCCAACTGGCGGTGCAGCATATGGAATGCCCAAATACTGTTCGACCTTAGGAAGAGCGTGATTCACTTTGGGCTCCACAACTATCCCCTGCAAAACTCCCTGCTTCAGAGATATCCTCCTCGTGTACTGCTTCGGATTCATATCGTACTGTCGATCGTAATATCCCTGGCATTCAGCACCAATCACCAAACACACGAAAAACACTGCTACTTTTACATCCATTTTACGTTACGCACTAAATCAACGGATGTATATTATTTCAAAGTCTTGTTAACTACTGGAGTCTTTGAAATCCGAGTATAATGGACTGTATTATTGCCGACTGCGGGGGTCTGTGTTTGTATTTTATATTTGGCAAACTCATTTGCCAAAATCTTATTACACTCAGCGCTTCTCTATTAAACCTATTTCGACTCAGAATGAAATCTTGAAATAAACACAACTCTCTCTATTGGATCATCCATTCCATATATATTGGAATTAGTTTTCCGTAAGATTTTATTCTTTAAACCGTTCACCGTTCAAATTTCCGGCATCAATTTGCAAAGTTCACCATCAAATTATGCGGAAGAAGTTTTCAAAAAGTTCCCAAAGCTAATAAATCATAGCTTAGCGAAAGAAAATAAATATGAAATACGCTCGCATCTATTTTTTTTGTTTGTTTTAAATATAATTTTGAGTTATATTTTTGTAAAACACGCTCTATTAAACCGTTTAATATTGAATCGTAAATTGAACTTTATTTGTGTATATTCGAATCGAATATTTTTATTGAGCCGCAGTTAAAGTTTAATTGATGCCTTTATGCCACAATTTTAGTTAGTTATTCGGCATTTATCCGTTCTGTTTTGTTCAAATGAATTTATGCGCGCTACTTAGCTAAGTTATGTGACTAATAAAATTTGAAAATGAAAACAACAAAGCAGTTGATTTTTGTAGTTTTTTTTCGGTCAAAAATAATTAGTTACATATTTTGGCTGTAAGCCCGCACCGGCGCCAAAGTATTCAGTCTATTCGGAACATCGGGTCTTGTCCTCAATTATTTGTGTACACCAAGAACTTTACACAAATCGAATTTTAATAATTACACATCCTAATGATTCGGTAATTTTTGATGAAATCGTTACACTTTGTTTCAAAAACTAAGTTTAAGCAGTTTAAACGTAACAATTTGTTTGCTTGCTTGAAAGTTCAAACTTTTCGTTTCAGTTATCGCGGATTCGGAATTTTGTGTACAGTTTGTCGGCTGCTACAAACACACTGAGCGCGTGGATTTAAAGAATTTGGTTTGAACCATTTTAACCTCGCGTCGCGATGCATGCATCGAAATGACAGAGGCGTCTATTTTCAGGGGTTTTTGAGATGTCCGTACGTCTCGGATAGTAACGGACACTATTTAAAAATAGGTACTAAGTAGAGAGAGAAGCGGTGCGTCGAGGATGGGACGCATTTCTCATCTCCACGCAGCAGCAAACCGAATTCGAATAAAATAATAAAGCAAGTTTGTTTCCCTATCGGTGATTCCTGTTTCCGGTCTGTTGCGTTGATCCGTCGAAGGAATCAATTTCTCGCAGGAAGAGCGGCGGAGAGGCAATTCGAAGGGACATTCAGGTGTCGGGTAGACTAATGTAGGGACATCAATAAGCCTAACTTGGCTTATCCCTGCTTGGACTTGGGAATTGATTTCGGGGCCGCCGATTGTCCGGGACAGCCTTAACTAAATCCAGGACAAGATAACAGTCGAAAATCGCCACGGATTGAGTTCGGTTTGGAGCGAATGGAGGGAGAAGAGGAAAGAATCTTCACAGTAAATTGGGCATCGAATGTTGACAGCATCTGGGTATCTGCATCTTCACAACACAAACAGAAAATATTGTTCCGTATTTACATTGTATACTTGAAAAACCTATTGCTCGGCTTTCATTTGGAGCCACAAAATTACGGCCGAAGCAAACAAGCGAATATTGATTTTAGTGCACTTTCAATACCTCTCGAACTTTTAATGGTTTATCATTAGCGTCTTCCACAAACTTTTCAACAATATTACGTAACATAAATTTTGGTTTACCTTAATTAGGATGCATCTAAATATTTATATTACATTTACAAATTATATATTATTATATAAATACATATATGTGTGTACTAAGTCTTAAATATAATTCAGTATGGATCTGAAACAAATGATCAAATTCAAAATCTAAGATAATTTAAGTATATAACATCTGAAAATGACATAGTACAAAATATATGTAATTATTAGTATAATTAGTATACTTATAGTTCAATTAATTAACAAATCAACCAAATATAAGGATACAAGAGGATTTTCAAATAATTTATTTTTAAGTTATTTTTGTTAGTTAAGATTTCTAAAATAATAAACTGAAGAATGTAAAATGCAGTAAGTTAATAGCAAACAGCATTATTATATATTATTTATGAGAATAGAACAGGTGATGTTATCCTGGCTTGGCTTAGAAAACTCTTCAAATAAGGCATCTCTTTGTGCGACTGCTGCGGTCCTATTCCAATTTCAGGAGAAACACGGCCGACGATGGTAACGTTTATTATAAATAGTATGACGTGCGAAATAAACCAAAAGGAAAAATAAGAGAGAGAATATGAAGAAGAAGGAATGAGACAAACAAAAAAGAAAGAAAGGAAAAGGACGAGGGAAACGGGAACGGCAAGTAATAATAACAGAGCAAATCCTCTCGCATCTGCGGTGCGGACATCTTTGTGGTAGCTGAAATTAGCCATCGAAATGCGCAGCTGGCTCACACTCTAATGTAAGTCAATGGGAAGTATTTGTAAACATTGCGAATTATTCGGAGCCACCGTCTATGATAAAATTGCCGTGTTTGCCATTTTTTTCTCTCTCAATCTCTTCCCCCTTTCTTTGTTTCTGTATTCCTGCTAAGATTTCACCACTTTCCAATGATGGTTTTCCTTTTTAAAATGTCCTCGTGCTTTACAAACAAAGCCCCTACCTACACGTTTGCAATCGTCCTCCTTCCCTCTCACTCGATGCTTCTACGCGGCAAACCAACAAACGGCACTGTGTAGAAACAGCTGATGGTCAATATTTGAATACTGATTGGAATTTGTGAGATCCAACAATGTGTTACAATTAGTAACGTTGGAATTACAGTAACTTCATTAATTTGTATCGTCAGGCTTATTTTACACGTTGCCTAAGCTGTAATTATTTGCTTCTAATTAAATCCATGATTGCAGGTTTTATAGCTTTATATAATACATACAATAACAAATTACGCCTGTAAATTTATACAATTTTTTATCACCTCAAATTAATTTATATCTTCTTGCTTATTTAACAAGGTACTTGAGTTGATATTATTTTCATCTAATTAAGTAACATAGTTTGATGATCAATGATTACAGATTTCATATGCATATTTGTAAAAACCTTAATATAATACATTATTACATCTATCGATTACCCTAATTACCGGTAAATTTAACAATAAATTCCGGTAATATCCATAATTTGTTGTAATAAAATACCGGTATTTTTTCGGTTAACTTTGATCTTTGTATATCTTTAGAATTATTTTACAGTATAGATATTTTTGTATAGATGTCATTAAATTTTATTGTATATTTAAAAGTAGTTAAAATTCTTTCAAAAAAAATATACGATTAAGATTTGAATATATTATTAAATACATTTTATTCTCAATTACAGGCAACCCGTATACCAATAATGTCAGAAGGTTCTATAGTTAGTTTAGAAAAATAAGTGATGATTACATAAAAACTAAAGAACGTGACTACAAATTTACAATTTCAAATACAGAAGAACCTCGCATAATGCGGCTTCGATCAGTGTAGATTCACTATAGTACGGTTTTCAGATTTTTGTCTTAAATTTATATTCAGCAAGAAGATAAGCTGGAAATATTACACTTCCTACTTAAGCTGTGAAACGTAAGAACAAATTAACATTAATTTTTGAAAATTTTACAAATGTAAATATTTCTGATAAATGTATAAAATAATTATTAAACCTATCTATTGTAACAATTACCAAATTATTCAATTATGTCAGTCGAAACATATGAGAATAGGAATTGGTACATCAGAAATACAACGGAACTTCAAATGGAAACATCAAAGGAGCTATAAATGTTTCAGCTATAAATCTTCTCGACAACTGCCTAAGATCCAAACGACTGAAACCATTGAAACTACAATACCTTTAAGGTTTGATTGAATTGTTGTAATTACTATTTACATATTTTTTAGTTTTAGTAAATATAATATATATTTTATAAATACTTTAATATTTGAGTAAATGTAAATGAAAAGTAAAGTAAAATTATTAATAGCTTAACAGAAATGGCATACGGTAAAAATCGATACTCATTCTGCGTGTTTTCTTTTCGCATTTCCCGCTCTGTGTTGCATAATGGTTTTGATACAGAAGGGCCGCGGAGTTTTTGGTGATAAATATTTTACGATCGCCGGAAAATAAAGTTTCGGTATTAAAATTTTATTGCCATCAAATTTTATTGCGAGAGGCTTACGCGAAGCAAAAATTATTTTTAAATAAGTGTAATATTTTGGTTCTAAATATTTAATGGGTCCATTGTTGGTCGGCTCTCACGCGAATGCCAAGCCACGTTAACAATCGAAATCCATACTGAATAATTCATCGGACACGCCGAAAATTGATAAAGTGGAAATTTCACATGGCGAGCAAACATGAACGAAGGGGGATGGGATAGGGGTGGCATCACGATGACCATCAGACCTCCAACCTAATTACATTTGATCCTATTACCGAATTCCAATTTAATGTACCGCACATAAGGAGTTTCCTTCTTCGGTACGGTTGAAGAAGATCATTACAATCGAGTATAAACTTGTATAATTATCAGTTAGACAACTAGTTAAACACATTGGAAATTTTGCAGAACTAGTTCTGATATTCAACACCAATTCATTACTTATACTAGTGCATTAGTATTCAGAACTAGTTCTGATTTTATTCATTCTACAACCTAATGTAACAGTAATCTAACTTCTAACTAAAAGTAACCGAAACGTCCAGCTTTCATACTAACATAACTTATATTTGCAGAGGCAACATTTTAATGTCGTCTCATATGATAATTCATTATATTCATTATATATGAAATATATTATGACTATAGGCAATCTTCTCTCCTGAAACTTCAAATTCCCAAATGTTCCAGGTGACTGACAAAGCTGTTATCTCTTCTTAGTGAAGTAAATCTTTGATTGTGGTATACTTGTAGTAGTATTTGGTAGCAACAATGATACCTAAAAATACAGTTCTAAATAAGGAATTATAGTAGTATTCAAAAATAAGAGGAAACCTCTGAGGAAACCATGGGTGTAGTTGTGGTAATATGGGATTTCGAAGATTCTGTGGTGATTATATTAAATACAGATCTGTATTCTCATATTGCCTTTACACAGTTCTTTTCAATATGATGTTTGTACAATTTTGCAGAATCGTAATAAGCTTTTAATGAAAGCCTACTTTTTATTTTGACAGAAGCAACGCTTAATGGGAAGTGTTTAATAATAAAACTAGTATTGCACAATTCATATTTCCATTACTGGATGAAATATTGAGTGTAACACATTGGACAGGTAATTCGCGCCTCATAATTCTAGCAAATCCCGCTGTTTGTCTGAAAATAAAACTGTAATCAATTTCTATTGGAAATATCCAATGAGAAAGGTGCGCTTCGCCCGGGCGTAATTCAATTATACTTTATCAATAGATTAAATTTTAGCGTAAATCGTGCGGAATAATTTGCATTTTCGGGAAGAAAACGTAAGAAATTGGTAATTGAATTTCGTGTCCTTCAGCAAATTATTTGCGCTCAAAAGTTGGGGTGGAACGCCTCCACCTCTTCCTCCTACCAAACCGCCATGATTATTATTTAATTTTGGCCGCGAAATGCCTTCGGAATACGATAATTTCTTCCTGCATAAAGCTTATAAATATATATAATCAGGTGGCGGCGAAAGAAAAGCAGACTTGTTAAACGACTTCCATTATCCGAAAGTTCGTATAATCGAATAATGCCCCCCTCCTCGACAATATTGAATTTACATTATAATGCTCGAATTGGATATAGTTCATAAATCAAATGCAGGAAAGAATGGGCGATGGCGTAATTATTTTCAGCCTGCGGACGCCGCGCTTTGAAGTTGACGTCTTTTGTTGAAATAATTGCAATTTTTCAAACACCGCCGAAATAAAATTAAAAAAAAAACCGTGCCAAACTTACACGATTAATTATTTTTGTATATAGAGAAAGTTCAGCGCAAATGGTTTTTCCTTCTATTCTTATACGTTTTTCTTTATCAAATTATTATTTCATATTCACTTTGATGGACGGGTGCTCCAGTTACCATGATTCCGCACGGTGCAGCCGATGC